CAAGCTGCCCTATGTGCACTGCAGCACAAGAGACTTCTTCCAGAATAGCTACTAGGAAGCTGAAGATACAGATGGGAGCTGCGTTACACAAATATGACACTCTATACTAATTCAGGAGAGACTTCTTCCAGAAGAGCTACTAGGAAGCTGAAGATGCAGATGGGAGCTGCATTACACTGAATTAGTATAGAGTGTCATATTTGTAACAACCCTTTCTATCATCTGATCTGTCTGGAGCTAATAAGCTGTACCTCCTGAAGCAGAATTAGAGAGCATTAAAGCATTTAAGATGTTTTAAACTAGCTTGCTTACACCAACAAAGCCATCTTCAGGCATTTTTTAGAGGACAAATCCACACCCGCAGACAAATATTTCTTGTCCTTTGAGTTGCCAAGATCCAACTCAATTGCACTCTGAGGAGTATCCTTGTGATCTCAAGCAGCAGGGAGCCAAACCACTTTTTCCCTTGTCTTTCGGAATACATTTTTTCCCCCCACTATTCATCATATTGATATTACCTAAATAGTACTCTTAGTTCTTGCAGCCACTTGCTCCAGAAATTGTCTGCTTGCATTTTTCAAGCAAAACTGCAGTAAATAACAGTTCTTAGATATCAGAACCTTGGGCTCCTCCTCTTTCATGTCAATGCACTGCATTCTATGTGTTCCACCAAATTCTTCCTGGATGCACATGCACAGAAGTCCCAGCTCCACTGGACAGGATTACAAGAGTCTACTATCAGCTAATCTATCCTGACAAAGGGCATTCTTGAAAGATGTCGATACAAACCTCATCAGATGGCATAAAACCAATGTCTTCCTTGTCCAAAGGAACTGATTTAACTCTTAGAGCTGCAACCATATACGAGCCTGCTGACTTGAGCCTGGCCTGAAGTTATGCTAATTGAACAGCATTAAAAAGCATATAGAAAGCTCCTGACAGGACATGAAGAATTGCTGGATGTCACAGATGTGATAAGAAGCTGACAAAAGAGAGCGATCAGTGGTAGAAGAGTAATTAATTTTGGTGGGCTGTTTATTTGACAGGCAACTACATCATAGAAATCGAGGGAAGAGACAACCAAAAGGAGAGTCTAGAAATGGGAGAGTGAGTAGTAAGGTAGCACTGATCACCCAAATTTGTCTATCTGAGGGTGCTTATTAATCAGCCTTGTACCTGACCACCACAGCCTCAGCCAGGACAATAAACCAAAGAATTTGCTCTTGCCATACCATGTGTATCAGAGAGGCTTCCTCAGCCAGGAGTGCTGGGAAAGAAGGGGCAAGCTGCTCTCACGAGCTAGCAGGGTAGCACGTGCCACTACAAACTGACCAATCCATTGCCACTGTGATTGTGCCAGGCCCCAACTCATCCACTCCTAACATTAACTAGGAAACACCAGCAACCACACTGATTCAAGAAGAACAGCAAGTTCTGATGAGGTTTTAGAAGGAGAGCTATAGGAGCAGACACTCAGGAAAAGGTCCCAATTTAGAGTGGACAAAGTTCCAGACGAAGGCAAGAGACTAGGTCCATCTCCATACTTCAGATTTTCTACCACTGCTTCTACACAACTTCCCAATCCAGATGTTTTGGTCCTTCTTCAGGTATTTTTTCCCCTAAATACAAAGTCTAAGCACCTGTAAGTTTCAAATACAAGTGTTGGCCCCTGAAATGTGAACACTGTCAACATTAAGGCACAGAGAATATGGACACAATTCTTGGAAGTTCATTATGCAATGAAGAAACACCAACTTGTCACAAAATAGCAACCATGTACTCATACCTGTTGCCAGTAACGGGCTACCTCAGGTAAGTTCAATGCCTCGCAGAGATACACTAAATTTAGAACATCCTTCTGAAAACAGCTACCTCCAAACCCTAAAAGGAAAAACAAAGCACACTACAGCTTACACCACTATTATGATTATTCTACTAATCAAATCTTCAGAATTAACTAGTCATTTATATAGTATTAGAGGTTTTTTCCCCCCAATAATTTGTTGTTATTCTTTTCAGCAAAAGGAGGCCTTTGGGAGCATCTAAAATCTGACCTCTGACTTATGTTATTGGCTACCAAAGCCCACAAATCCCACCAAAGTCAATGGAAATTAATCACATCTCAGGTGAAGATGCGATAAGACGGCCACTGGATTTTTATTTTGTAGGAAAGGGTGGACAAGCTCCTGGGTTTACTCTTCTCCCACTCAATGGTTCAGATGAATATGATTAAGTATTAAGCTTAAAAGGGTTAAGCCTAAAAGGGGGGAGGGGAAAAAGGTTATTTAAGATGATACTTATTTATCTGAACCACAGCTGATTAAGGGACAGAGATAATTAATAAAGGAAGCCTCACCCCCTACAAGTTTGTTCTGCAGAGTCCCAGAAGAAACACACTGCAGGAAGGATTATAATAACCTAATGGGCATTCTGAAAACATTCTTACTATCTGCTCGTCACTGTTTTAGAAGCTTGCAGAAGAGACTGTATTTAGTAATGCAATTAAAACAACTAAAACCTCTCCAGCATCAGGAGTGTGGCCATACACATGGGCTTTAGTCCTGTTCTATGAAAATGAAATATTTTTGTACTGATCAACACTTCTATCACACCTTAAGTCTCTAGTAAGAACGTCTGAATTGTATTAATAGTTGTACTCCAAATTCTTGCGCTTCAGATCATCAGGTTCAAGTGCAAATTCATCTTTGTAACATAAAAGTGGTTTTATACTAGTATTCTACAGTAGTATTTTCATTCTCTGATGCTTCAGGAGATGAAGTTATCACAGCATTTCTTTTCAAACACAGCTAGACCTGCTATGCTACCAGTCAAAATGCTAGCACGAAAAAAAAGCATCATAATTTACCAACGCTGGCTTTGAGAAACTTATTTCCAATTCTTTGGTCTGTTCCAATAGCTCTTGCCACTTCTTCAACATCTGCTCCTGTAGCTTCACACAGAGCACTGATTGAGTTAATACTGCTGATTCGTTGGGCAAGAAAAGCGTTAGCTGCCTGTAAATAAAAAACAGAGTACAGAGAATTTAACTTTTCTGGAAGCCAAGACACCTAGAGGCAAGTACGGTGTTAGCTCCCGGAATAAGTAGCACTACTTTAATACATAGATACTTCTGATGGGAACTGCAGAGATAGCAACCATATGCAGTTAATACATTCAAATTAATGAGTTTTAAGAAAATGACATAATACTTAATCATACTCACCAGTTTAGAAAGCTCTGATGACCAGGTATTGGTCGTGAGGATTTTTTCTTTGGGTACCCAGTGCTCATAGACAGCACAGAGAGCACGGACTGCTTTCTGACCCTCTGGAGAGTCATCTCCACCAATGAGCACCCTGTCTGGGTTCTTCAGGTCCTTGATTGCTGTCCCCTCCGCAAGGAACTCTGGATTAGATAGCACCTGTAGACACAAGAAAAGTCTTTAAAGATTGAAAAATATAACAGGTAAAAGCAAAGAGTAAGAGAGCATTGTTTAAACACACAACTCAGACTATGTTTACCTGCAGATTCAAGTCCGGCTTAGTATTGGCATCAAATATTCGACGAATGCTCTCTGCAGCACGCACCGGAACCGTGCTCTTCTCAGTGACAATTTTATAGCCATTGGAGTTTTGTACAATCCTCCTAGCACATGCTTCAATGTATTTCAGATCAGCTGCCCGTCCTTTTCCCATCCCATAAGTCTTTGTTGGAGTGTTAACCTAGTCAAAAACATAGAAGAGCAGAGGGTGAAGGCAGGGGGAGACTTGTTACACAGGAGCTACTGAATAGGTGAGATTGTTAGGAATTACAGACATTTTGCTTCCCAGAGGCCTGCCTGGTACTACACCACAATTACCCTAGTTACCATATCAGACAAACAGCCACTGGATTTCTCAATTACCCATTGTGCCCTCTAAA